GAGCGGATTCCCTAAAGTTTGATTCACGGCCGCGTCTGCAGAGTTTACTGGAGTTTCTTTAATGCCGCCTGGGTTTCCGGTCTGGGAATCTTTGGTGATGGATGTGACTCCATTTTCCAAACACTTTCTCTGATTTGAGGGGGAGGCGGAGCTGATTCGGGCGGATTTCGGGGGGTGGAAGGCTTTGAGGCTCACTCGTCTTGGGAAGGAGAGAGGGACCCGGCGCGGCGGGAGGCAGACTTCTTCGGGCTGCCTGGGCGCAGGTGGGGCGGCAGCGGGAATCCTTTCGTTTTCTTTCCGCGTCTCCCTTCCGCACGCGTCCGCTCCCGGGTCCCGGGCGCCAGGGCTCTGGCCCGGGAGACGGGCTCCCAGGCACTCTCGCTGCGGGCACGGGGCGCGCCTTCGGGAGCCGGCTGCGGAGGGGGGCCGGGCTCCAAATCCTGGGGAGCCCAGCCCAGCGCCCCGCGAGCTTCTTCCGTAGGGCGACCGTGGGCGCGGAGGGAGCGGAGGACGCGGCTGCAGGAGGACCTCGCGGGGAGGACGGTCCTTCCTGCACCGCCGGGGAGGTAGTGACCGCGACCCCCTTGCCTCCGCAGGTATGAAAGATGCCGCCGAGCTTCTGGGCCACCGGGAGGCGGTGAAGTGTAGGCTGGGCGTGGGGGGCTCCGACCCCGGGGGCCACCCGGGGGATCTAGCGCCCAACTCCGACCCAGTCGAGGGAGCCACTCTGCTGCCCGGGGAGGACATCACCACCGTGGGCTCTACGCCGGCCTCGCTGGCGGTGAGCGCGAAGGACGCGGACAAGCAGCCGGGGCCCCAGGGCGGCCCGAACCCCAGCCAAGCCGGCCAGCAGCAGGGCCAGCAGAAGCAGAAGCGCCACCGGACGCGCTTCACGCCGGCGCAGCTCAACGAGCTGGAGAGAAGCTTCGCGAAGACTCACTACCCCGACATCTTCATGCGCGAGGAGCTGGCGCTGCGCATCGGGCTGACCGAGTCCCGAGTGC